TACTATTTCATAATGACCTTTGCAATAAAAAGAAAACAATAAAATAATTTTTGTTAAATTTAATTTTACCTTCAGCTGCAGCAAGATGTAAACTTGTTTTAAGTTCATCATCAAAATCTTCACAAAGTGCAATTTTATATTGTTCATATTCATTTGTTATATTTTCATTATTAATTATACGAAAGAAAAAATCAAGTATTGAAAAATTACCTATTTTAGCTGCTTCATGTATAGGTGTACGTTTATTAATATTTTTTTTAAGAATTAATGATAAATATTCTTTAATAAATATATTTCTATTATTAGATGATAATTGTGTTTGTAATAAAATATGTTTTAATGTATCCATTAACATTTCACATATTTGAAATGAACCATTTTTAGCAACTAATAATTATATTTTGATTAATAATTAACGAGAAAATTTTCCTAACTAATTAATCATTCTTGAGGCAGAACAATGTATATCATGTAGATACTAATGAGTTATAAGTACCGTAAAAAGTATTCGGATCCGCCGATACTTTGAAATTTTCCGGTAGTTTTTAAATGAATGTTGTGTTCCCTCAGAAACACTAGGAAAACTAATTTTTGAATTTCGATTTGAAACTATGCATAGAGATAGTTCTTAATGAGAATAATTTCTTATGAATGTTTCAGATCTTGTCATTATTCCTATCCTAAGATGCAATTATGGTAGTAGCATATCTTTCATATCGCTCATATAAACTTGCACATTTGATGTTCTTATTTCAGGATAGAAGCAAATCAAAAGATATAAAACTTTTACAGTAAACTATCTATATGCAAAGTTTCAAGTCGAAATTCAAGAATTAGTTTTTCTGGTGTTCCTGAGGGCGGATTATAGCATTCATTTAAAAACTACTTAGCTCAACAACATACGGAGTTCGTATACGATGGAAAACGACTGTGTACGTTTCGTATTTCTCCGTATTACAATCGTATATCATCATGTCGTATACGAAGGAATATGGTGATATACAGAAAAAAACAGTCGTTTACGACCCAGGTCAAAGAAGCACGGTGGTATTTCAACGTATCGTAAACGGTCGGATACGCAATTTTTTGACCGTTTTTAATGCTGTAATTGGCTGTTTACGACACGGCAAAATACGGTTGCAATACGATGCATACCAAACATCAATTTATGGCTATTTACGGCCGCAAACTGTATGAAACGATAGTACACGTTAAGTTTTTTGACCGTCTACGATCGTATCTGCCAATTGTAATGCTCAATCTGGAGATCCTTATATATGGAATCCGTATACGATCTCGGTATCTCTCTGTGTACAGTCACGGCGGTATACGATTGTAATACGATGATTTACGGTCGTTTACGATCGTACTTGTTTGATCTGAGTACCGTAAAATTGCAGTATTTCCGTAGCAGTAAGCTAAGAGCTTGAACTCTTTTCAAAGTATTCATAATTCATTAGGGTTTACATGATGCACATAGTTCCGAGTCAAAAGCGATTAATCAGTCCGGAGGCACTCTGTGTGTATTAAAAGACACCTTATTAGCTCTTTTGTTACGGGGCCTGTATATACACGAACTGAGCTTTGCTCGGACTACTTCTGTTTACAATTATGACTTTTCCGTACTTGGGGATACAACTAAAATGTGTCAGCTCTAACCTACACCGAAAGACAATATTGAGGCAAAATATCTGTATGCATACAACAGACGATGGTTATTCTTGAGATGAAACCCTGCATTCTTAAGGTATCGTCTAAAATGTCATCGTGGTGATTACATCAATAGCCGCACACTAATTCTAGTTTACTCTGATGATGCTTCAAGTCGCCATACATTAAGGTAAGGTTAAACTACCTTGCGAGATCAGTCTCTTAGTCAGGCCATCAAAGTATTCTCGTAATTAGAAGACTCAGAGCGTCATTGTGTAGCACCACCAACTATGTGCATTGTAAATCAATTAGTATTTTGAAAATAGAAGTAAATGAATTATCTTTAATAGTTTCTACAAACTAAATCATCTTCTAAATAGTCTATTTTTACCATTATTAAACATATAGTATATATTCTAACTAAAAGCTATTTAATTATATTTTAACTCAATTCAACTGTCAAATGAATAATATGAAAATTACTCCTTATCACATTTTTCTTTTACTGAATATTAAATACCTGCATGCAGTATAGTATTTCCATGTCGATCACCTTTAATAAACATATTATAACAACGAATATCTTGTTTAATCCATTTAAGACAACTTTCTAAAGCATTTTGACAATGTCGTTCAATACAAATGTGTACTAAACAAAAACAAAAAAATCAAATTTAATATAAAAATATCATTTGAATAATACTCACATATAGTTTTACCATAATTATCAATTACTGTAATATTTGCATTATTAATTAAAAGAATTCTAATACAATCATGATGATTAAAATAACTAGCTGTTAATAATGGTGTATAACCTTGATAATCTCGAACTTCTAAATCTAACTTTTCATATTGATAATTAATTAAAATTTGTAACACATCAATTCTATTATATTTACAAGCAATATGTAATGGTGTTTCACCATATATATTTGTTAATTTTAATTGAATTTGATATTCAAATAATAATTGAATAATATCAATATTACCTGATTTTATTGCCATATGAAAAGGCATATAATTATGAATATTAGCTCCATAGAGAAGTAGAATTCGAACTAAATTAATATTACCATATTCACAAGCAATACTTAATGCAGTTTTTTTATCTTTATTTTCAATTTCAAGATAAAATTTAAGATAATTTTTAGCTTTATGTAATAAAAAATGAGTAGTTGTATTTTGAAGAATAGAATTTTCTTCAACATGATTTAATATAATTTGTTGAGATAAAGCAATACAATGTAAAGGTGTATTACCATTAATATCTTGTTGATCAATAATAGCATGATATTCAATAAATAAACGAACACAATCAATAGCATTAAATCGACATGCAAAATGAAGTGGAGTTGCATGATTTCCATCAAGAATCTAATTGTTAAATAAGTATTTAAAATATTTTCTATCAGAAAAGCTATTAGTACATCCTCTATGGGGGATTAAAATATGAAAACACGATGAATGTACATATATTGTAAATCAATAGATTTTACGATATATGTTACAGTGAATCAAAAACAAGTATCTTGAATCCAATTCTGCTTATATAATAATCCTACACGAGCTGCAAAAAAAAAAAATAATACTAAAAAAGCTAGCACAATCAATTAATCTCATTGAGAACTTTGTTCGTGCAGAATTTGAAGTCGAAGATTGATTTTCTATGTGACCTGATGCGGACGAAAAACTCAGTAAAATTTTGACAATGAAGACCTAGAAAACTAAATCATTCTAAACTTTTCTAGTACTCATCAAATGAACATCGTTTCAATTGAAAAGTGATTTGAAACTTCTAGAGAGATTTTCTAATAAATTATCTGTCATGACTTATACATAAAAAATTCTTACATCAATTGAAGCACCTAATTGAATCAATTGTTTAGCATTATTGTAATTATTTCTCATAGCAGCATGATGAAGTGGTGTACGACCTAAAGAAAAAAAAAATAATAAAACGATTTTTTTCAAAATTATTTACCATGATTATCTCTTTTTGATAAATCAGCTCGATGAGAAACTAAATAAGTAATGATATTTTGTTCAATTGAAGGTAACTAAATAAATAAAATAGTTTAAAATTTAATCATAGTAAAAAAAAAAGACATTCTATAAAAATATTTCGAATGAAAATTTGTATTTTTCATCTTAAACTCATTACTTTATAATATCTATAAGAGACAAACCATTGTAATTGATTTGTTGTGAACATTCGTAGTATCATTATTATCCAATATTTCATAACGAGCTGCTGTATGTAATGGTGTTTCTCCATCACGACCAATAAGATTAACATCTAGGAATATAAAATAAAAATAAAATTCGATACATCAATATATTAAATACCAATATGAAATTCTTCAATAAATTTTCGAGATAAATTCAAATGATTATATCGAATAGTATAATGTAATACAGAATATTGTTCATGATCAAGTTTTTCAATTTTACTTTTAATACTTATTGTAGATAAACCATTGTTTTTCATTGTTAAAAACCAATTATCAAAATATTGTTCATTACCATCAACTGCAGCCTATATTAAAAAGAAAAATTATACAATAAAGATTTTTTAATAATTTTCTACCTCATACATAGACAATGATGGATTATTATCGATGAAATTCATTATTTTGTAGTTTTTCTCTTGTATTCAAAAACTAATCATCATATTATTTTTACTTGATCTGTCTATCTGTTAATGAGATCATATGTATTTATAAGGTGTTATAGTTTTTATAAATAAATATCCTGCAATTGATATTCAAATATCTTTAATCGATGTCATTTTATAAGTTGACAATTTAATTCAATAAACGAGCAAGATTCAGAAATTTTTGTATATGATTTTTTTCGACATGAAGCCAAACTTCAAATGAAACGAATGGTTACTTATTATTTGCAAAAAACCAATAAATTTAATATATTTTAAAATATAAAATATAATAAATGGCGATTTCGCTCACCTACTTTATATATATCATATTGATCTGAAATATGATTACTTTAATTCTTTTCCTTACCATTGATTGATGGATAGACATTTAAATTCAAAACGTTTTTTTTTTATCATAAATGAGAGCATTTGGTTCATATTTTATATTATATTCCAATACAATTTTTTGTTGAAAATTTTCTAAACTTGATTTATTCTTCAATTATTTCTTTAGTATGTTCTGAATTAGATCACAATAAATGACTAATATTGAGAATAATATCAATCTTTATTTATTGTATAAAATTTCAAAAATTCATGTGTGTGAGAATATTTTATTAGTTTAATATAGATGATACAATTAATAAATCATTGTCTCTTAAGAAATTAATAGTTAAAAATATTCCTAATATTAAGCTTTATCACCACAAGCAATGAAATAATGGAATGTAAAATCAATATTACTATTCATTACTTTGGCAAATTGTTCATAACCTTGATAATGCTTCATTTCAGATTTAGTCATTGTAAAAATTCCCTAAATAGAAATAAAAATAATTATATTTAATAAGAATAGAAAAACAAAGAATAATTTAAGAAAATACCTCAACTTGCGGATTTTGTAAATCAGCTGCTTTTAACATATCAATCATTTGTTCAGATGAAAAACCTTTTTTAAATTATATGAATAATTCAATAAGAAGATATTTACAGAAGAACTTACCATGTTTATGAGGAACTACATGACTATGTCCATGTAGATGTCCAAAATATGCTTCAATATTTCCAGCATTAGCAAAATCAATAATCATCAAACGTCCTTTGGGTTTAAGATGTTGAGCAAATACTCGAGTAACATGTACTGGATCTTCAAAATGATGATATGCTCTTACACAACTATAATATTATTAAAATAAAATAAAATAATTTTTATTTCAATTAACATACATAATAACATCAAAAAGTAATCCATTAAAATCAGATTGATCACCTTTGAGAGAATCACTTTTAATACACTGTAATTTTTCTGGTGATATTCCTTGATCTTCAACCTATGATACAAAAAAACACTGTAGCATTCTAAAATTAAAATTGCTAAACATTTACACTAAGATTAAAAACTTCAACCATTCCTGGTGCTGAATCAACACCAATGATACGTTTAGCATGTGGTAAAAGTTCGAATGCAATAAGACCAGGTCCACAAGCAAAATCAAGTACTTCAGTTTTATTTGAATCGAATGGATATTTTTTAAGAATAAATGATGCACATCGTTTTGCTATTTCAACAGATAGTTCAGTACGATAACTTTGCGCGCGTTTTGAAAAATAATCTGCATTTGCTTGCGCACACTCATGATGTGTATGATGGTCGGCCATCCTTACGAGAAAAAGAAACGAGAATGTTATGTGTGGAAATGAAGAAAAGAACAGAATAGATTTTCTCTCTTAGCCACATGGCTTGTTGGAACAAACAACGATAATAGATTCTCTTTTTTCCTTTTTACTTGTGCAAAACAGCAATATAGAATAAAAGTGTGTTTTTACTCTTGTGAATATCTCGGGTTTAGAGTACCCGTGTATTGGAGTAAAATTTAACAGAGTATTCGAAAAGATATCCCATTGAGAATTGTTTTAATATATAGATATTAATTATATGAAAAATTTTTCAATAAATTAATTGATTAAATACATAGAAGTATTCCGAAGACAAGTACTAACAAAATTCAAAAAGTACTCACGAGTTCCTATGGGATATTGATAGCGTATGGTATTCTGAATTTAATGCATTTACAAAGAAGCTAAGTTAGATAAAATAAACAGACATAAGTATGCATAAAATAAGAATAGTTTTACTAACGAGGGAATCTCTCGAAGTGATAAAAAGCTTGTGGACTCGGACTACTTTTATCTTGTAGATCCTAGTGAGTAGTGAAATACCCTAAGTTGATTCGTCCCTTTATTGCTTTGGGAAGGAGCTAGGGCCGATTTATTGGTTTTTTTACTTATGGTACTCATGTGAACAGCAGTAATAAATGGGTGACTTTCGCTCAGAAATTTTGTCCATAAAGAGGTCGTATGAACTCTAAACTATCCTGAAGATTTCAGCTAAAATTTAATGTATTCTTTTTAAGATAATGAATTTTCAAACAACACCTGTCTTCTAACATAAATTTTAATTTTGTGCGAGATATAGGCGTTTTTTGGAAATTCATTATCTTAAAAAGGATAGATTCATTTTAGCTGAAACTTCCAGGATATTCTAGTATTCATAACACCTCTTTATGGACAAAATTTCTGAGCGAAAGTCACTTATTTACGACTGCTGCCCGCATGGGTAGGGTAGGTCAAAAAACTAATAAAGCGGTCATAGCTCCTTCCCAAAGTAATAAAGAGACGAATCAACTTAGGGTATCTCATTACTTACTAGGATCTACAAGATAAAAGTAGAGCTTTTTTTCACCTCGAGAAGTTTCCTCATAAGTGTAACTCACAAATCGAATTGATATTTTACTCATAAATAAGCCTACAAAGATTCGTCTCAATGCACTGCCCTTCTCAAGTTATTACAATTTTACTGAATATTTCATGTATATTTGACAAGGTATTGGTGAAAAAATTGAACTACGAAGTTTCAGCATGAAAGTTTGTCCATAGATAGACCTTGGAAACATCAGAATGTCCCGAAAATTTCATCATGAATGGATGTGTTCTTCTTGACATATTGAATATTTAAAGATACTCATGGTTCACAAGGAACGGTAAGAAAGATCAATGTTTTCAACATTCGATACCTCAAAAACAACATATTTCTCATGACTGAAATTTTCAGGATACTATTTTTTCATTATTGAACAAGTGTTTCTTTCACAATCATACTATTAAATGTAAGTTCGCTTTTGTTTTCGAATATAGCGATGTATTCGACATGGAATTATTCTCGTGTATATGTATATAATTGTAGATTATATTAGCAATAATTCTATATCGAATAGTATCTCGGGAAATTCTAGCATTGATTATGTTTCTCAATTTAATGAAATGAAAAAGTAAACTTTTAGAAACAAAACGGGCGTGACTGTGAGTCAATAGTAGAGGAATATCCACATCCCTTATTCCAGCATCTGATCTTCTCAATGATTTATCTCTAATAGACGTGTCAAAAAACGTTATGATTATTCAATAGAAGCATTACTTAATGTTAATAAACTAAGATATTAAAGTCAAAGGACTGATCAATAAGAAAAAACCAATTCGAAGAATTAAAAATAACAACGAACAAAAAATTTGGCTTGATTTTCAAAATTGACCTATTTTACTGGATAGTAGAGTATGTCATTATTCCGAATGTTTTTTCATCAAGAATATTTTTAGAAAACTGACGATTAGTTTTTCTTTTTTTCTTTTTTTTAGAGAATTTGACATACCCTCTATTCAATCATGTACAAAAAAAATTCATCCTTTCTTTTATTAATGATTGATAAGCCTATGAGAATAGGCATAGATTGATTTTTATTATTATTTATTTACTTAAAAAGGATGAAGAGTAGATATATAATGCGGTATAAGAATAATAAATATAGCCCATCCAATTATTCCTCCTATAGTAATTAATATATTGAATACTAATGCCAATTTACTCATTGTTTGAGCTCCACTTAAATTATTAACACTTTTATCATTTCGACAAATAATCGAGAAAACCAATGGTATAATACCAAAAAAACCCCAACCACACAATAGATTGACAATCGACCATGGTAAATAATCATTTATATAAGATGTATCAACAGTGATTAATAATGGTTGAACAGAAGTTGCAGAAGGATAAGGGTAAGGATAGGGTGGTGGCGGTGATGGTAATGAATCCTTTTCGACAGACATTTTTCAACAGGCTTTGTTTTTCTTGAATGCTTAAGATTATATATTCTTTTAATTTGGACTTGTATATTTTTATATATATATGAGAAAACTAACATATGTTTTATTTTTAAAAATTATTGATTTATTCTGAATCATATGAAGTAAGTTTTATTGATATAATTTTATAATAGAAAAACGAAAAGATAAAAAGAACAATAATTATTTATTTATCATTCGATGGAAATCTACTCAATCGTTTTTTAACATCTTGTTTTTTTGCATAATCTTGTTGAAATCGTCGTACGGGATAACTTGGTCGAACTTGACTTATTTGTTTTTGAAGTCGATGAAATTCATTTTCATGTTGAATTTTTTCACGTTGTCGTTGTATAATATTTAAACTGAATAAAAGATATAGGAATAATTAATTAAATAAAATTACACTTAAATACATTTACCTATGAAGAACATAATTATTGTGAGTATCAACAAGTGACTCAGCTTTTATCATTCTTCTACGAAGACGTTCATTTTCTTGTTTAATCATTGATAATTCATGTTCTTTTACCTATTATAAATAGATAATATTATGACATACGAAAACAGATTAACTAACATGTTTATGTCTAAAATTTGATGATAAATGAAATCGAGGCGTAGATTTTGATAGATTCAATACACTACGTGCATTTTTTATCTAAGAAAATTTATATTTGATAATAAATATTATTGAATAAATAGAGACAAAAAAACAATGAAAACATACATGATTTTCATGATCTGCTTGTGCTTTAAGTAAGAGTTTATGTCCAAGATATTTATTTGCAACAGGTGAAACATTTGGATAAGAACGATACATGACTTTAATCACTTGTATAAAAAGAAAACAAAACAAAAGAAAAGAAAATGATTATTGAAATAAAGAAAAAAAAAAGAATTCATGAAGAAAAGAAAAATAGAATCAATTAAGAGACGACAAAAAAAACACTAACTGTTGTTATAACGTGATGATAAGAAGAAAAAAAAATGAATAAATCAATGAACAATACTATCCTAATAAAAATACGTCATAGAGAACACACCATTGCAACTATTCAATAGATGTGATTTAAATGAAATATATCGTATGGTAAATATACCAACACTTAAAAATAATGAGAGAATTGTATTCTATGAGATTGTTTTTTTTTGTTTTAAAATAATTTCATCAGTGTTTGTATGATGAAGACTTATTGATGAAAGCTTTCGTTGGATACGAATTTCATCGATATAGGGTTTTTAATTACTAAACAGAACGAATGAAATTTTTATGTATAGAATAAAGAGAAATAATAATTTTTTTAAAATAATACATTCAGAGTGCCACATAAATTCGCCCATGGGCAAAAGTCTTTTTCTGCCCCCCTCCCCATTTTTTAAAAAATTTTCAATACTTGCTTTTTTTTTTATAATCGAATTAAAGTATAACAAAGACTATTTATTTTAATATGATGTGTAGTCACCATTGACTTCAATCGACTACTGCACTTGTCTTTCCATGCCTTTCTTATTTCTTGTTCGAACTTTTTTTTTCATTTAATGTGTCCGTCATCATCAACCAAATGTTTTCAATCGGATTTTGATCTGATGACAAAGATGACCAGGGCAGAACCTGTATTCGGTTGTCGATTGCTAGATGGGATCTGTGTTTAGGATCATTGTCCTCTTGGAGGACCCAACTAGTTGGACCTTCAGGAAATTAATTATAAGCAGTGTAGACAGAAGACCATTCTCATATATGTGACATATAAAGTTTCTTGTCAAACTGTGTTTGAAAGTAATTGATTGTCTGAAACCTTGTTTTGAAACACATCCTCAAACGTGTAGCTTGAAAGGATATTTAACTGTACGAACAAGTTTTGCGATATTTGGAAACCGTCAAACTTTTCTTCCACTATTACCAAGTTTGAAAATCTTCTCATCAATAAAAATTACGTTGTCTCAATTGAAGTGTTGATGGTGTCGAGCCCATATGAATCGTTACTCACGATGTTTGTCTGTGAGAAAAGGCTTTTTTTTCAAAGGTAAACCATAATTTCTTCCGCTTTCACGTAATCGACGTTTAGCAGTACTTGGATCTATATTCGTACCATCTTCTTTTAGAGCTTCTGAAATGTCGTTGATGTAACATTCAGCTCATGTTTGTCTATATTAACAATCTTTTTATCTGTTATCTTCGACGTGGCACGTGATCGTCTAGTCTTTGACAAATTTCGACAAGTCTTCATTTTGTTGTCATCTGGCAAGCCAATACCGTACACATTTTGGTTCACACCCAATGTACTTTGACATAGCTTTATTTGACATTTTAGAATCTAGAGGATGTACATTGAGAAACACAATTTCATAGCGTTGTGATAGAGGTAGTGGTATGTTTTAAATTTTACGAAAGAATGATGAAAATATAATTCTCGATATCGATTAACATTTGTTACATAAGATTGGGTCATCCGAATCAACAAATAAGAAGAAGGAGAACAAAAGAAGAACTATTGTTTAGGCAGTATTTATATTATACGTTAGTTCGATAATAAAAAGAAAATTAAAAAAAGAGGAGGAGAAAGACTTTTGCTCACAAGTGTAATTAGACGACAACAAGAAAATCAATATTTCCACTCTGATTTAATCAATTGGACTGTTTTTTTCACGGTGATAGAGGATTTGCCAAGGTTTTTAGAGTGTACCTCATAAGTTCTCGGTCTCAACAAAAATTAGTTTATATGTAAATAAAGAGTAATTTCTACTCGATTATTTCTACATGAGCTTCGAATACTTAAGACGATGTTTTGAATAGCATATTCATAGGTCGAGTTATTAATTATACGAGCAAAATTCAAAAGTACCATTCAAAGTTATCACTTCTAACCGAAATACAAAAATTTAGCCTTTTTTATATGTAAAAAAAAACATTATGCAATGATTTGTTTGTTATTACTTCGATTTCTTGAATTATTCTAATCTTTAATGATCGTTTTATACAAATTTGTTTAGATATATTCCCGTGAAAAGAAATCCAATGGTATTAAGTATAGTGACTGTAAAGCTGATGAGATCACTTCCTCTGTTCTAAATCACTGATCATCAGACTCATCGGTCAGATGGTAGCACGCTGTCTTTGAGCAATATACTAATGCCCTATAGTGCTGGATAGTTACTGTTATAGTAACTCTTTCTTTTTATATAAAATCAGGTAAAATATAGTAACTCTTTCTTTTGTGAAACACGATCTGAAAGGAGTGTTGAAGTGTTTAGGGGTAGAAATTTGGATCCACTCCCCCCCCCCCCCCCCACAGACCGTGACAGAGAAAATCCATACCCATCACAGACCGTGACAGAGAACCCGGGTACCCATCACAGACCGTGACAGAGAACCTTGGTACCCATCACAGACCGTGACAGAGAATCCAGGGTACCCATCACAGACCGTGACAGAGAACCCTGGTACCCATCACAGACCGTGACAGAGAATCCGGGGTACCCATCACAGATCGTGACAGAGAATTCAGGGTACCCATCACAGACCGTGACAGAGAATCCCGGGGACCCATCAGAGACCGTGACAGAGAACCCTGGTACCCATCACAGACCGTGACAGAGAATACAGGGTACCCATCACAGGCCGTGATAGAGAACCCTGGTACCCATTACAGACCGTGATAGAGAAGCTGTAGTTGTAAAAGATCAGATAAACGGTTAACTACAAATATGTCGCAAAGGAACGGAACAAAAGGATTTCTATTTAATTAGTAACAATAGATTCATCGTGTTTCACATTTTTAATCCCGCAAGGGATTGTGCTAACAGCTTTTTATATAAAATCAGGTAAAAAAAGCTTTGAAGCATGTCAAAGTTATTTTGCTCAACAGTCGTTGCATCATGAAAGTCACTGGTTGGATCATCAGAAAAATGACCCAACAATCAGTTTGCTTAAGATTATACATCACATGGATAGTTTGTGTGAAGCGGTATACGAATTATTTTGAGTCCAAATACAACAACTCTGTTCATTAACTAATGCCGCCGATGAGTGTTTGAATAACACCCAAGAAAATGAAACAATAAAAAAAAACAAATCGTTGCATAATGTCTTTTTACATATAGAAAAGAGGGCTAAATTTTTATGTGTCAGTTAGAATTGATAGTTTTGAAATTTGCTCGTATAAATAAAAACTTGGCATATCCCTACCTATCATTTACAAAAACTAGTTGATAAAATTAAACCAAATAGTAAAGACATACAGAAAAACTTTTGGGACACCCTGTAGTATTATTGAAACAGATAATGTTATCGAAAAATATACTATTTAAAACATCGCTCTAAGCACCAGAGATGTCCATCGTGGCTAAAAATCTGCTGCTGCCATGGATATCTCTGCTAAATATTCGAAACTCATATAGCTATAGTCTGGTAGGAATCATTCTTTATTTATATATACACTAATTTGCATTGAAGCCGAGAACTTATGAGACATCCTTTATTCATAAGGAAACTGTCAAGTAAATACTGTGTAGAACAAATACTATTGACTTCAATGAAGATATACATTAGTGACCAAAAGTATCTTACCCCACGATCTTAGCCATTTTTAGAGTTAAACATGTGAAATATTGAGTGTAGATGCTACCTTAGAAATGTAGGTTAGTAAGACTAACCTGATCTCGTTCACTTGAGTTGAAGTGGAGTTAGAACCTATAGGAATCCTTCTCATAATGAGCTCGATAACTCAAGAAGCTTATGATTTGGCGAATCTATCATTATGTAGCCATCTAGTGTGACTATGATACTGCCAGATAAGATCGTAAATCTGCCAGTCTCTTAGATCTCACTTTCAACAGAATAGAAAGATAGAACATAAAATTGTAACAAATTAAATTAATAATGTCAATATCAATCCTATTGCAAGTTTTATACAAAATTACATAGATAAAATTTTACAGAATGAATCAATACTAGATCTTTGGATAATAAATTCAAGTAAAGATCGATTTTTTTTTCTTTTTATCTTTCACCAGAATTTCTGTAATGTCTGTTGTCATCATAATGAGTTATCTTTCGATGAAATTTCACGTGTCCAAAAGTAATCTATACCAACAAATGGATATTTCACAAAAATAGGTGTTATTTTTATTGAACATTGATTAAATACCCACCACATAAATGAATTACTATTTGGACCAAATAAAAAATGATATGGTAATGAAAAATTATGATATCGAATTGTATTTAATTGTAAACAAAAAATTAATTTTTGACATTGACCTGTTGGAACTTTCCATTGTAATCCACCAAGATCCCAACCATAAGGTTTTACATGTGCTATTGAAAGACCATTATAACCAAAATTATTTCCAAGAAAACCACCTTCAATTATTCCATAATATGATTGATTTATAAAATAATTAACAAAAAAATGACGTGCACCTGATAAAGCAGCTAATGGATCAATAAGAAAATGTCTTCGACCTACTAGTTTTGCACCTAAAATAACAGTACATAAATTCATATCATATGGAGGAAATCCATTTGTTTGTTTTATTGAAAACCAATTTTTATAATTGACAACATTAAGAGATACTTTTGTTGATTGATAATGAAATAAAATTACAATAAATATTCCAATCATAAAAAGAAACAGAAATCCATAGATAAGAATATTATTTGTTTTCATCATCTGAAAAACATAATCAATTAAAGACAACAGAGTGATATTTGATTTCCTTTTAATTTCTACAAAGAATCTCAATATAAAAAACAATACATACAATATGTCGTATTACACTGCCGACTGACATTAAGTAATAGAACAAATATACGCGTTAGGTACATAAGAATTGATAGTATTATAAAATAACTGACAGTGTAACAGAATATATCAGAAAAAAAAGAGCGTTCTATCAAACACAATAATGAACGTGTTTCCGGAAGAAAAAAACAAAAGCAAGTTCATATTCTTATTACTTACGTGAGACAAAGTGTTGACGAACGAAGGAATCGAGAAAATCAATACATAACTGACTTGCACATCTTCGATGTTTTGATGGTCAAAAGGTTCATTGATAAACAATAACTGAGCTAACTAATGATACAAATATAATAGACCCATGGAAAAATATGCTGATTTAGTTCCCCTTCAAAAAAAGTCACGTTTTCGTCAGAATAGTCGAAATTAGGATAAATTCATAGGAAGATAGCTCGTCATTTGATCTTTCATAAATAACAAAAATTTTTACTCGACACTCGATTTTTTTGCCAAAATTTTTTAAAATTTCTGTCGTTCTCTATTCGAAAAATAAGCTGTTTTCAGGAAAAACAAATCTTTTTCGTTTTTTCTCTGTTTATAGATTATTGAGCCTGCAATTCAAATTTTTCTGTTCATACTCATTCTATATATTTATTTTTTTGTTTTGGTTGAAAGAACGTGTCAAGACGCAGTACAGTACAGAGCGCTTTTTTTTATTATATATACAGACCCTTATATAACTCGACATCCATTGTTTATGGTTTTTTGAGTCATTGAACTTTCGATCACTTTTCTCTCCTTAAAAAGTAAGAATTTAAAAAAAAGGCTCTGTACTTCACTATATCCTGACATGTCTTTCAAACAAAAAAAAAATCTCTAGAATGAATCTGGACTGAGAAATTTCGTTTGCTAAGTAAGCTATTTTTGATCTCTGTTTGGTCAGTATCGCCCTCAAACGTTATGATAACGGACTGAAAATTTTACCATTGCTTATCCACTGCAGTTTCAACATATCCTGAAAATTTCATGCCATTTGAACGTTCTTGGGTTGAGACCGATTTTTGAGGAGACCTTCATGACTTTGAATGTTGACATAACAATTAGTCATGATACGATTGACAAATAATGTACCTATCAAAATAGAAGCAGAATAAAATCATTAAACTCAATCGATTTCTACCACTCGTCGTCAACGGTGAATAATCATTTGAGTGATAAAAATGATTCATCAGGCCACAGACAGCTTATTTATATCTGTTGTTAAGGGGGAAGTAAAATTGAATGAATTCTCTCTCTTTCAAATGCTTCATATAGAGCAAGTACAGTTGACAAGATGGAAAATTCCAATAGTAGGTAGGAAGTAGATGATTGTAATGATGTATTCTTATTTGAATTGTCCAAATCACTGTGTTTACTTTAAATGAAAAGAACACACAACATGTGTTCTGTTGACAGAACGAAAAATTTCTTTCTCTTTCTAAAATTAGCTGTTCTCTTCTCAGACAGTTAAAATACGACCGAAATTTATCAATTAATCGTCTGTATAATGTACATAAAATATACTGAAGGATGAATTTATATGAAAGTTTTCGTGGGATTTCAAATGATGATAAGTGCTGCATTTTATTTCATGTCAAATCAGATGTTTATGATTAATACATTTGATAATGATCAAACAGACAACAAGATGAGTTGGACGACTTTTGTGGGTTTTTTTTTGAAAATATTCGATTGTATTTAAAAAACGATCTTGTCATGTTCTTACATTTCGATATATTGCCTTTCACGAAAAATAACGTGTCAACTAGAACTAACTAATATAAATCGATAGGAACTAAAACTGGAAAGAAAAGGCAACATAAGCATATTGTAACACTATAAATAGTATAGAAACATACGAGAGATAAAAAGCCAAAATCAAAAAAAAAACAATGAACACTCATATCTCTTAATAGAAGTGAACATGCTCATAACTAAAAGAACACCAGCTTATGCCATCGGTTACTAACCGTCTTTTCTCTTATTATATTAATACATCATATAATGACTGAATTTTAATCACATGTTTTTTTTTTGATATTATTAATACATGAAAACAGAAATTTTATTTTTTTAATTTTTCAACTATTTATATTCAGTATACATTTAATTCTGTTTATTTTAATTTCTAGTTGCAGTTGTTTCGATGTATGAAGGCGGATATCCTGGCATATATGTTTGCTGATGATTTGACCACTGTTGTTGATTGTTCATAGTGCGGGGATATGGAGGAGTATATATCACCCTTGCTCTTTTCTTTTTCACACAACGAATAATGAGAAGAATGATAAGGATAATGACGAGAATTATCACTAGACCAGCAATAGAAATACCAATAATAGCACCAGTACTGAGATTTATACCGGCTGTGCATGAACTATTAGCATTAGTTCCAGATGAATAATGAAAGCATGATCCACCACCCATTATTTAAATAAATTGTTCTAATGAATATTTATTGTACAACAAAGAAATATTTTTGTTTAATATATCAATTGAGATTTCGTATTCTAAAAAAAAATTTTTTGAATAAATATTCTCACTTATTCGGAAGTAGAATAGTGAATTCTTATAAACATAATCAGTACATATAACTATTCACGAAAAAAAAAAACTGTCTTGGACATTTATTAATCGAATATAGTTGGAACTTTCTTTTTCTACTCTATCATGACACATCATACCATCAACAAACAATCGAAAAGAACTATGGAAATTGTTACAGAAAAAAAAAACGAAAATACCAAGTCTCTCAAAAGTAGGATGTATAATGGTAGAGAATCAATCCATAAGACATTGTAATACAAATATTATTCAGAAAATAAATGGAAGATCTATAAGTATGTCTGATGGATTTTCGATTGAATCTTAGCAACTTCAAAACAAATAAATGAGTCATAGAAAAGAAAAAATTCATAATTTGGTTGTTCTTTGTAACCAAATAAACAAAAAAAAATTAGTAAGTGATTGGAAAAAAAACTAGGTTACTTCCTAAGGATCTTATATTGTTTTTTTTCCAACTTTTCATTTGTATTTCTCTATATAAGAAGACTGTGAGAAAGCCAGCAGTCATTCGTTATTACCTCTATTTCAGTGAGAAAAAATCTTTCACATGCATAGTAGATTGTACTTCTTTATTATACTCATACTGCTTGAGTTTGTATTTGTAACGGGAGCACCTTCACTTCTCGCTAAGGTCATTGCCAACAAGGTCAGTAATGAAGGCTCAAGCAATAAAGTGAAAAGTAAGTTTTATACACATTATCAACTAAAATTTTCTTCGAAAAACAATTGAGGATATCGGTTTTTTAAGTTTCCAATAAAAACTAAGCTAATATCATAGAAACTACTGAATAGAGAACTCGTCTATTCTATTCTTACAAACTAAACTATTATAGGTGATGTTTCATCCAAATCATCGTCATCATCATCGGCCTCATCATCAGCATCAGGTTGTTTTGCTAGCGATACATTAATCACTTTATCTAATAAAAAACAAATTCCAATTGAACAACTTCAATCCAATGATAAATTATTAACAACTGATGGATCTATCATTTTCAGTACACAATTTATGTTGATGCTTGATGAAAATAGATTCTCGCAAGGTAAAATTAACATCAGTTTTGTCTAATGTTCTGTTTTGTTTAGCTATGTTTCATACTATTACAACTGCATCTGGACATAATGTTAGTCTTACTGGACTACATTTAATTCCAATAATTGAAAATAATAATACAATAAATTATATTCCTGCTAAACAGATTAAAATTAATGATAATGTTTATGTTATGTCTAATGATCAACTTATTTCATCAGCAGTTACAAGTGTAACCATCGAAACGAAAACTGGTTATTATGCACCAATGACCACAAGTGGTAAGAATTCATGAAATTCGTTTGATTTTATTCGATTTCTATTTTGATAGGTACATTGTTTGCGGGTGGTATTATGACTAGTTCTTATGCCAATGTTCAGAATCATGAAGCAGCACATTTTTCTATGGGTTTATTACGTTTTTATTATTGGTTAGCTCAATTATTATTTATTAATGAACCTTTTGGCCATCAAAACATCGAAGGTATACATATCGTACCAAAAGCTATGTACGAACTTGTTCAATTCTTATATCCATCGGCACTTCGTTTTTCATAAAAGATAGAACTATTGATATATTCGCTTGTTTTTTTTTCATGTATTCAAGAATATTTATCGAAATAATAATTTAACATTTTCTTTCCCACTAGTTCTTTTTCCGATTTCCTAGATTCATTTATTTAATAATAAATAACGTTTGATTTTATTTTTATAAGACATTTTGTGTTAATAAAAGCGTTGATCGTTATATGAGTGAGAGTACATAAACTCGAAAAGCAATGTTTCTTTTTTAAAGTGTCAACGATTTACAATAGTGGACAAAAGTTTCTGCTCGAGCCAATCTCGGCCATCATAAAACTTCTGTACACCTACTTCAGCAAGAATATAGGTCATAGACATTGCCGCCACGCTGTTATTGCTTAATTACTAAGAGATTTATGATGGATGGCACCTACTCTTTGTTCTGATTATTATAATCTAAAAAAAGAATGTCTACATAATTTTACGTTGTTTACTGAGTTATTGACCTCCAACGAACAATAGATAGTTTTTCTCCACAGTAAAATGAGCATAGTCTTTGAAATGATTAATAAGCTTCAATGAAAACAGATGAGATATATCATTACATATAGAGAAGTCAGCTGACATAGAATGCGCTTCCTTTTCCAAGGTTATGGAATTGATAACCAAAATAGGTGTTATCCATCATAACTCTGTAATTAAGTAATAATGGCGATGCAATGTCAATGATCTATATTCTTGATGAAGTACGTGCAGACAAATATTACAGTAGCCAAAATCGGCTGAAGTGGAAACTTTTGTTCGCTACTGTATGTCGTTATATTTTTAAGTATTACTGAAAATCAATACAAAAACTAAAAGAGAAATGAATTTTTTTTTACATAGTTTTGATGAAATATTGCAAGCTAAATGATAAGAAGTGTATACATTTATTTTAAACTACTAAGAATAACAATAATATCATCTTTTTGACAAATATTTATGTATCAGGAGCAAATAAATTACGAATAACTGGATCATTTTTACATCTAAAAACAAAAAATAAATATTCCATATATATATATATAGATTTCTATGAAAATACTACCCTATAATAAATTCTTCTTTACTTAATTTTTTATCACCACTAATATCAAGTTTAGCAATGATCTCTTTTGCACGTTTTTTCGGATGTTGATCACCTTTTCGATCAGTAATACCAGCACGATCGTACTAAAATATTCGACAAAAATAATATTATCGAGCAAAACAAAACAAAAAAACATGATCAAAATTATGAAATCTTACCATGGCTGATATCATATTCTCCAATTCTTTTTGATTAATATGTTCATCTTCTGAATCATCCCATCTATATAACAAAAAAACAAAAACAAACGTTATAGAAATCTATTACAAAAAAAATTTCATATCTACATATCAAATACAAATGAAAGACGTGATTCCAAATCATTTAAATGATCAATTAAAACTATAACAATCAATAATTCATGAAAATCAACTGTACCATCATTGTTTACATCGATCATATGAAAAATATGTCTTAAATATATTATAATAAAATAAAATTTGACAACAAAAAAAAAATGATATGCTGATGTACTCAATTGATTTGTTTGTTTCTTCTCGTGGATATAATTTTTTATAATATTCAATGAATGCTTGCTTATCTAATCGACCTGATGGACAATGATTAAGAAAGTCCTAACAAAACAAAAAAAAAAAACAACAGATATCTTAAAAAATATTTTTCAATCAAATATATACCTCATGCCAATGTTGAATTTCTTTAATTAATAATATAAATTACAAATATTATCAATTCAAATTAATAAACAACATTACCTTGTTCAGTAATTCGTGAAGCTTTTATGAGTGCAGCAATTTCTAAAATATCCTACAAAAATGAATATTTATTAGATAAATAAAAACAAACCTTTGGGAGTTATGTCCATGGATACACGATCTTTCTTGTTTTTCGACATTTATTAATTAAAAAAAACAAAAAATCAATGCCAGATTGATTGTGTTACTTTTTATCTCAAATGGTAAAAGGTGTTATTGTACTTTTTTCTTTCGAGTCACGTTACATGTATTGAATAGAATTTAAAAATAAAATCTACTAGAAATAATTACTAGAAAATCAATGCCAAAATTTGTATCTATAAATGTTACAGACATTATTCAAATTTAAAATTAACCTATCGAAGAAATATAATATTGTAGTATTATAAACAAGCAATAAAAACAAAAAGAATAAGAAAAAAAAAAGTCAAAGTATGGTTAATTTTAGAAGGTCTTTTCTTTTCTTTCCTATAACAAATAACAAAACGTTTTAAAAATTATTATAATAGATTGTTTTTTTTTTCAAGTAATTCAATTTTATTGAGATTTTTCATATCAAATGAGGACGTTCGATGAACAAACATTACACGATGAAAGATCAATAGTCCATTGAATCGGGACGATAGTATTGTATTGTTCATTTACTTACTCGAGAAAAAAAAACGATAAGAAAGAAAAAATGCTACCAATTCTTATGTTTTTGATGAAGAAAAAGAAAATAAATGATGACTTTATTTTAAGAACAAAGTGTAACAAACAACATCTGAACCAATCAGTGTATTTCTCTAAATAGTTGACAATTGTGTTAGAGAAATTTTTATAAAAATTCATTTTCTAATATTCAAATCTAAATGAAATAAATAGATATTTATAGACGCTCTAATAAATGTCATTCTGATTTCAATATCACTCAATTTCATTACATTATTTGATAAATTTTCACATTTCGTTACTGTACTTCAGCCTATTAACCATGTGGGATAGCAAAGATATCATAGAATGAGGATCATTTCTTATCTACGTCCTTAAGGCATCCTTGTACATGAAGCATATGTTTCCTGTTTCAGTCGATGCAATCAAATATAACAGACAAATCTTAATAATGATTAGCTAATTTCATTACGATATCTTTCGAATCAATCTCTAAGTTAGTTCCTTATCAAAGAATTTAACAGTGCCAGTGTCTAAGCTAAACAGTCCTTGCTAGCTAGAAAGGAGAGAATATAGTTTTTGACGTCACTAATATCAAATTACTAGTGCAATATTATTCGGAAGTACAGAGAGGACAAGATGTATGCGACCGAATAACTAATGCAGTAAATGAAACGATCCAATGTTCAATTCGCATGAGAGTCCTGACATCATCAATTTTTTACATATGAAACAAGATAGAAGAAAAGTCTTCAAACCAAACCAATATTTGTCCATTTTTGCAGGTATTGCATCGTAATCTTACGTTGATTAATGTCAATGTCTTGTTTGCTTTTGATAATTCTCAAGGCTCAATGTCAGATTTGTATCTAGTCTAGAAACACGAAAGATGCGAAGAATACTGTGAGAATGATTCTCTATGCAGTCGATGTTAGTCGATAATCACGGATTATCCCTTTGAAGACCGGTGTCTCATTTTTGGACCACCTATTTTTTTAGTACAGAAAAAAGCGTTTATTTCACATTAAACCATTAAATATGTAAGGTCATTATGGTCATAAATAACTACATTTGTCATCTCGTATTTTTCTTTTCTTTTCTTTTTTTCCTTCTCTCATATAACTTTTTTTAAAAATGTCCTTTATTCTTGCTGCTAAGCTACAATGACATCACAAATTCTCTCTTCGCCTTTGATCTTTTGTTTTTCGAGAATATTTTCATTCTATATTGGATATATATACTCCCGTTCTCATCGACGAATTTATATTGTTCTTGAATTTGCAAAGTATATTATTTCTCTTTCGAACTTGTACTCTTTATTTCATTTCATACCATTTTACAATTAATCTTGACAATGAAATGCATTTGCCTATGAAAGGAAAAAGAAGAAGTTGTGTTTATTTTAGCACCGAGGAAGCAGATTTGCGATCGAACATCTAGTGCTTTGCTTGGAAATTGCCATTTTGTTTAAAAGATGAAAAAGATTGGTTTTTTTTATTATTATAACATTTTTATGTAGCTATTTTTAGTTAAAATAAAATAAAAAGGTTGAAAAATGTTTTTTTTTTCGATTAAAAACTTCGGTCCTCAAAGGGTTATATAAGTCAAACGAAAGCAATCTGAACAATGAATATCTGCGCGGCATAGTCTTCTTAAATCATCACTATTTTTTATATTTAGATGTAGTATTGTTTTGCAAATAATGTTAGATTGCTTAGTATTGTATCTGAAAATGCATGTTACTCAATCAAAGCATCTTCATGAGATATGAAATAGATATGTTAAAATCTAGAAACTCTACTGACTTCAATCAAAATCTTTAAGAACAATATTACTTATATTTCATTCTATGAAATTTCGATAAAAATGCTTGCGAAAAAAGTCTAAGGAAAACCAAGTGAGATAAAATGATGCAAAGTTTGATTCGATGATAAAGTCATTCGTTCACGTATGTCTCAGGTAATGAATTCTGTTGTTCATCAACTGAAAGACGTATCAGCCAATCCTCTTCATTATATTTACTCGTCTGTTGAAAGGAACCAGGTGAACTGGAAGCCAACAATTGTCACTAGCGATCAAGAGATCTAAATGATTAGAAAAAAAATAGTTGATTTAGCAATCTGTTAGTTTAAAAGTGTCTGACAATCAAAATGGCTTATTTAAAAATAGACCTAGATACATATCATACTCAACACCTTGCATAATTTAATTTAGAAATAAAATAATGATTATGGATGAGCTACCAATACAACAATGATGGATATTATCTCGTCATACTCTCTTTTAAAGAAGATGTTGTCTGTCTGCTAATGATTGCAACTCTCATATTTCTATTATCGAGTAAAATGAACATAGAATAGTCTTGAGGACGTTGATATTTCAATAAAACATGATCATTAACTTTTCAGACTTGTCCTAATAATTTCTCTAAACTCACTATAACTCTCACATTACTGCCCAATAGATACAAGCGAAAAATGTTAGACGGATGAAAAAAGCAAGATTCGTTTTTATACTTAGTGTGCAAAGAAACCCTACGATCTTCGCTGACGTTGACCTTGAAGTCTCATAGTTCCATGCAATTGGCAACTCTGAGTCTAACTATTGTCGACGCCAGAATTAAATGTGTGTTGGTGTAAGACGAATATCTCGAGAATGGCAATAATTAGCGATCTGCGCCTTTCATCAATCGAAAGAGACTGAGTTAGGACATGTTTTGATATAATATTATGCATGATGAAATCATTATCTAACCAATCTTTTTTGAGAATCTTTCCAAAAAATGTATAATAATGCAATGGAGATCTAATGAAATTTTCATTTTGACATGTGTATTAGCTAGAGGAACTTCAGCTCTATAGTTCAAGATATAATGCAAATGGTTATCGTCTTACAGTCAAACGATGAGTAAATAAATTCGGCCATTTGCTTAGAAAAATAATAGGGAATTGCGTTGATTTTCAATCAAGTTTTCGAATTCAATGAAGAATCTTCTAATATAAAATGAACTCAATTGAATGTGAAAAGAAACAGAAAAGTTGATAAGAATGAAGTTGTTATTATTTCTGGATCATCAATTACATGCTTATGAATTCTATTAACTAAAGAGTTTGTTTGTGGATTCAATGGCAATTTCAAACCAGTCATCAACAATGATTTATTGCATCTCGATCAAGTCAAGTCACCTAATGTACGATAAGACTCAGTTGTACGATCTTTCTTTTCTCTCCATATTTGTCTGCAAAATATTTTTCAGTTATTATTTCAAGACAAAATCAACAGCAATTTTCGATGACAATTTAAAAATATTTCTGTGTGTTACAGCATAGAAATGACGTTCATATTTAGCAGTATCATGATTCTAGTTGAGATACACAGTTAAAGATATCAAAACCAATGATAATTGCATCATCATCTTCTGTGTTTTGTTATGTTTCACACATAATTCATTGTCATTTTCAAATTACAATGCCGATTCTATATCAATCTTTTCTGGCTCGATTACATAATTGTGTTTTCATGTTTTCAATAGCGTTAATGTTTTATTTATTTTTCCTATTTGAAACTCATCACATTCTTTTAATAAGTATAAGAAGTTTATTGCGAAAATTGTTTAAAAACATTAGTAGATATATTAGAAAAAATGTTATTCATCATTGTCGTTGGTTTGCGCTTCCTTCTTCATATGGATTTCTTCATTCAGCATCAATAATTTATTAGCATGCTCTGATCTATTGGCATTGTTGTTCAAATATGCCACTACCCTATAGTCTAGACTTTCTCCTTGTGTCAACATCTTTTCAAGCTCCTCGAAATATTGTTTCTCATCTGTACAAACACATAAAACTGCAAAACAAGCTTCACGAGTTTGTTGATTATTGATTCCGTTCATTAACACTTCTTTTGCTTTCTCGTCGTCTTCAAAACAAGAAAATCAACGAACATAATAAAAAAGAAAAAGAGATTAAAACAACTTACTGAAAAAAGTTGCAAGTGCTAAGCAAGACTCTATGACTAATCGATTTTTTCCACCTGACGAGAATATCCCATCGGATGAGTCGCTATCTTCATTTGCTTGGCTCATTGGATTTTCGATGATTTTCATAAGAAGAGGAATTGCTTTTGGATCACCTAATTTGCCAAGAGCTGTTGGTATATCCATGGAAAAGATAGGATTTGTCTAAAATGAATCAGTAATCCATAGCAGACTTTGCCAGACAGTTATTAACTTACGTCTTGAGGCAATAAATACTCCAATACTTCAAATATATCTTCATGCTTCATTCCTGCTAATGCATTCGCTGCACCTTTCACTGTACACACACTCTGATGATCTTTTATAAGATTCATGAGCGTAGATCCAATGAAATCTCTTTCAGCACCTTCAGATGCTTTGGCTCGTTTTTCGAGTTCTTCGAATGCTTTGTTTTCTACCGATCCGTGATAATGACGATAGCAAATAGCTGCCAAAAATTCTGTGGATCGTCTTGATTCATCGTTCGCTAGTGTCGTGTTGACGCATTCCAATGCATTGTCAGAGTTCAGTTCCTCGATTATGGCAAGATTTTCAGGATTATATTCGATGTGCCGACAGAAACCTGGAATCCAGGAATAGAATTTGTATTTACACATCGATTCATCAGCATTTGTTGTATCATTTTTTTCGGTAAAATAAGTTGCAAGCATTCCGTAAGCATCTGCAAAAGTAGGATCGGTACCAATGAGTTGTTGAAGTCTTGTATAGGCTTGTTCTTTTTTTTCTTGCTGCCACAAACATTCCGCAGCTTTGTAGAGCCATTGAGGATCACCATCATTCTTGTAAAAAAGAAAAACACAATAAAGAATATCAAATATTTCACTATCGCTCAAATTTTTCTTCTAAAAATATCATGTAGCCAAGACTACTGTAAATGGTGATGCCGTCATTTTAACTTGTTTAATGAAAATGGACCAGATTTTATCTTTAAAGAACAGTTATCGTATTCGTTATTTGCTCGTATATATGAGATTTTCTAATTTTAGTCAGTTCGAATAAAATGTGAACATCTCACACATCGACATTTCAAAAAAGAACTTTCGCTTCTCTGAAAATTTCATTTGTCGAAGTGATTTTTCTAGACAATGGATTGTTACATGAACTTTAAAAATCAATCATCAATTATCATTATTGTAGAGAGACAAAAAAAAAATGCCTATCCTATTTGTTTCAAAGGAAGAGAAGAATGCCCGAAAATAACAGTGGATGCATACAGTTAAAATAACTCCTTATTTTACTTACAGAGAAACCATCTTCGTAGATTTTCATAGCTTCGTCAAATTGTTTCAAATCGTAGAGAGCTCTAGCCAATTGAAGTCGAATTTTTCTTTTTATCTCCATGTTGCCTGCAGGAATATGCTCCAGTACTCCTTTAAAATGTTTTACTGCCTTTTGAAATTGTTCTATTTTCCATTCTGCCTCTTCGGCTTCAGTCATGTTGGATGGAGTATAACATACATGCTGAGATTTGTGCGACACTCCTGGTCCATCCGTGCCTGATAATGAAAAACATTATTGATATTGAATATGAATTATTCATTTGACTTTTACCTAGACGATGAACAACTTGAGCTGTTTGAAGTGAAATATTGATCCAATCAATAATTTTCTCCTCTCCAAGTTTATCTACTCGTTCTGCACTCGTTTCCAGAAGTTTCAAACCATCTTCCCATGCTTGAACTGCTTCTATATGTTGTCCCATAAAGTTTAGATATTTTCCAAGAATATCGTATGCCTTGTAGAGTGAATTGTCTGTCGTAGATTCTTCGATCGTTGCTTTTAGTTGGGTAATTGCTTCCTTCTGTTTTCCAGATTGGAATATCTCATCGATATCCTTGAGTTTTTCTTCCATGCTGTCTAATATAGAACAAATCAACAATAAATTGGTAAAAACATTTCAGAGCGACTCTTCCTATAAATGAATACGCGTGACTCTTTTTTTTTGGTTGCTATATATATTAAAGAATGAGAATAAGAGGAGCCCCTCCACGAATGCTTTTTTTGTACTCTGCTAATCGACAGAGAATAGATTGTCACTAGGGTAAGACTTCAATTTGCGATAATCTAGAAAGTCTTTATTTAAGAAGATAAGTCAAAATCGAGCATTAAAGATTCTTTGAACAAGTTTTCTAATTTGTCAATCGTCTACTTTTGAATTATTAAATATATCTGAAATTTCGAAACTAAAAATGAAAAGAAATCTATGCTTTTTACTATTTAGTAATATGATCTTTTAATCTTTTGGACAGATTGTAAGAAATTTCCTCATATAAACTTCTACGATCCTGCGCCATGGCTTATGTCAGTTGAGCGTAGTAGAGTCTTATTCACGATTCCAATCGATTCATTGTATTAATCCTATAGTCGATAGTCGAAAAGCATTATTTTTTCTTTAAATAGTAATCGTTGAAAGATTACGACAACAAAACAGAATTGTTTTTGTTATTTCTTACAACACTGTTGTGCAATTTTATGTGTTACTTTTGTTGATAAAACGTTATGTAGCTATTTGCATGTGCTACGTCACTATCAGATAATAAAGAAAAACAAAACCATATCCTTCAAATAGAGATAGAATAGAATTGATGATTCACGAGTCAGTTTTCTTTATTTCAGAAAACTGCTGTTCGATCATACAGCTAACGGAGAGTACGATGAACTTGTGTAACATCTGATTAAGTTACGTATATCTGTATTTGAGACATTCGCTCTCTTTTCATTCGACACTTAAAGTAAGCCCTTTTAATAGAAAAAATTTTATCAGTGCTTTAGTTGCATCATGAATCATATTAAACTGAAAAAACAAATTCAACTAATCCTGATGATTTTTGAAATAGAATTTATGATATAAACATTCTAGCATAGGCAAGCCATAGTATATTCAGATCGTCTATATGGCTTACTGTTTACTTAAACAAAACTTATTTATCTCCTAAATCTATTGCAAGCTAACTCTCGATGATAACGTATATCGTGCATTACATACCTGTGTGACTTAGAAGATAAATAATGTAAAATAATAGTAACAGCAATGGTTTTTATATTGTGTCCTCTTCTTCCTTTCTTTGAATAACATAAAAGAAGTGAATCATAAACATGACCAAACTCGAGTCATATAAGTCATACACAATTGCTAAATGGCACTATCGTTGTTTCGCAGTAGTCTTCAATTAAATCGCGTTGATATCAGCGAATATTAGTCATCAAGATATTTAAATAAAATATACTGTTGAAAAGAAAATAGATAAAATCATTTCGAATGATTTGAATAATAAAAATTGTTTCTTTTGCATAACGATCTTGAGACATTTTTTCTTTTTCTCATTCTTAAAACTAAGAAATGTTTGCCTACTTTTTGTTTTATCTATATCTCAGAATAGATGAATGATGGAAAGTTGATCTTTTGTTTAACAGATGTGTTTAAAAAAAATTCTCTACAAGATTGTATTAACTTATCTATTTTCCTACACATTTTTTTCTGATTCTTTTCCATGTTATTAAGAAAATTTCGTATATATAGGTAAAATTCTCGCAAATGCTTTCAAAAGCTATCCAATAGTAAGTTCTGTTTTAAGAAATTTTTCGTTCGTAAATGAATCGAGATTAATAAAAGCAATGTGTGAGAAATGGGTATAGTTCATAAAAGTACACTATGTATCCTATAAAAGCGTTGGATTATATTGTTTTAAATGATAGTTTATACAAGCTTGTATAGAACTTCGCGGCATATCGTTTATATAAAAACAAATAGATCAAGATTCTATCATTTATCTTTGTTGAGATAGGAACAGAACAAAAAGTATGTAAATATTTTTGGACACATTTTTCTAAAGTAATTTCGATTCAAAATGAAATTATTGCAAACAGTAGTGTTGACAAACACTCGAAACAATGCACGTATTACACAAAACCTAAAAAGTTCGTCTTGCAGATGCACTATCTTGTGAGTGAATATGGCTTGCTGACTCCATGAATTGGACAAGAGGAAGCATCTACATCCACTTAACTACACTTATATTCACAAATAGATGAAGCGAATGGGGTCGACATTCAGTTAAGATTGAAGTGTGAGTAAGATTTCAGACTGAAGAAGATGATGACATAAAGAATTCGAGTCAATATCTTCATAATGCAATTGTTTTAATGTAGAGGATTAAGAACGCATCTCAAATTATGCTTTCTAGCATTGCTCAAATGTACCAAAATATTTATACATCATTGTCTATCTTTTGAGGTGAGACTATTATGCGTTCTCGCTTTCTAGAAGCGGAAACTAATTTTGCGTTTCCGTTATTAAGAATGGAACACGAAAGTAACACTTCTAGTTTAGCTCATTATATTGATTACAATATAATGAAATATGGTTTTGTATCTTTTTAATTAATCCTTCGTGTCGTCATTCGTCGATGCCATTTGTGACTTGCCAGCTCCATATCCTATCTTCTTTCCCAACTAATCGTTAAGTTGTGCTACGATTCAATTAAATTGGTTTCCTCTTAACAAATGAATCCATCTATCTGATCGAAAATGAACTTCTTTTTTATTTTCCAAACGATCACTGCATATGGACCATCGATCTGTATAAAACTCATGAGGATGAAAGATGCTTTTCGAACAAGATTGCCTATCACACTTTTTTCACTATAAAATCATCACATTTTCGATTAATCCGCGATCTCTTTTACGAAGTGGATTCTCAAGGGTATTTAAATATTTTATAGTGAAAAAAGTGTTCTTAAGGTACATTTTGGCATCATTTGAGTTCAGATTATTGTGAAAATTGAAGAAAATTACACTGAGAAAAAAACTTAATCGATAATTCTCTATGAACAAACATCTTTTGTCCTAATGAATTTTATACAGATCGATGGCCCAAGTATTGCTCTTTCGAATGAGGAAAATTGCAGCGCTCTATCTTGTTCCTATTAAAAGTTATTTGAAAAAATGGTAAACTGCCTTTTATTTTGGATCGAATAATACATGAGAGTAGGTGAATCATCATTCGTATAAATAGGAAAACATTAGTGAAGCAACGTATGTATAATATCATAGTTAGTGTTCAGAAGACCTTTGCATACGAATAGATAACACTCAAAAACAACGTAGGAATGAGAAAATAATCATATGAAGATATTTCTCCACATCATATGCACCTCACAATAGTATGAAGAAGTCATCGAAAAAATAGCTATGTTTTTCATTTTTGTCCATGGGAATAAACATATTGTATTTTTATAGCTTATGGAAGTCAGAAGGTAGAAATGACACTTCAAAAACCTATTTTCTAACGTTTTTACTATGAATATGAGCTATGGACCATGGTTCATCTTTAGTAAAATAATTAGTCTATTTCGCCGAAATATGAAGAGATATTCAAATCTTTTCTTGCCCGATGACGTACGAGATATCTTGTATATAAAAAAAAATAACGTTAATCATTTTCCTATTCATCGTTCAATCGCAAGGTAACTCAAACAAGATAACGTTCGAAGTAGGCTTTTCTTCTTTGCTTATTCATTTTCCCTAGAGAAAAAAAGTTGATTTTATAATCTGAATTTTTCTATATTTCAATTTCATCAAAAAAAAACTTCTCTAATGTTATAAAGTTGAATTAAAAAGAAAAACAAGCGGCTTAAAAATGGAAAGCAGTGACTCCTACTAAATGTTGTAAATGAAGAAAAAAAATGGCAATGATTAAAGTACGTAAAGACTAAAGATGCAGAAGAGATATGTGACCATTAAAAGACATGTTGGCTCATTTTATTCGAAGCTTTTGATTTGTCAATCTCATTTGCATCTCGACATGTGTTTCACACCTGAAAGAACAACATTTGCAAGTAGTATCGACTAAAGAAAGAAACAAGAAAAAAAAGCAGTGTGTTATATTATTACATCATGAACGAACAATAAGAAATCAGTTATTTCACATGATATTTTTGATTATTTTTGAGTACATGATATCTACTATTCATTTTCTAGCCTAAGTGATTACCTGGATTCTGTATTAGCTGGCTATTGTCACTATTTACTCAACTTTCATTCTGTTCTTAAATCGAAATTTGATCTTCTTTGCCAACATATATGACCACATCAAGTCATTTCTGTTATATAGTTCCATAACAATGATACATCAAATCAATCAAACCTGTTCGTTTCTCGTTTTAAACTCGAACAAATCATTCATCTTCAATCATTCGATATGACTACAATTAGTGATAATAAACACAGACATACACTGCTATATATAAACTAATTCCTTGACTGAATCGACTAGCAGTACCTCATGTTCATAATCTCGTTTTGATTTCATTGCCTCATCTACGTCATTTAACTCTTCAAAATTTCTTTTGGTGGAACTTATTATTTATATTAAATCAAATTCTTAATCTTTATTCACTTGATGTCAAACTTTCATATGATAATTATTCAAAGTGGACGGATAACATATTATTGCCCCATCCAAGATGACTCATCCTAATCATTCATGGTGCGTATAGTTATTTGAAAATTGTATATATATATATATATTCTTTGTTTTTTAAAATTAAGGTAAAAAAAAGACCATAATTCATGCAGAACAATTTTCATCTAAAATACCTAATCTATATTATTTCAAACTTATTGCACAAGGTTATCTGGATCTTATTGATGGCCAAAAATGGAAATTACTTGTTTCACATTTGACTATATTCAACTTTCGAT